CAGTCTACATCAACGAGGAGAGTTGCCCTACCGTCATCTGGATATCCGACAACATGATCAAGTGCATCGTCTCCAAGATCGTGATGAGGAAGTCGTCGGTACAGCTGCGCTACTATGACGAGTTTGGAGATGTAATGTTCTTCGAGCCTCTGGTGCAGGCAATCAGCTTGTCCAACAAGGGTTCGGTCTCTCAACTGCTCTCCCTCGATGAGTTCACTGGCTCAACTCACGAGCTGCGCAAGATCGCTCCTGTGTGCATGTCCCATGGGAACATCGCGGCAGATCCGCTGGGAGGAAGACTGTTCTGCATGATGCAGGACTTTGAGCGGCATCCTGACTTGCTTACGATCTCCTTGAACATGTCGTTTGCAACGTCAACTGTCTCCTTAGCCATTAGCTCTCGCGTCTCCAACGACCTGCAGGACCTGCGCAACGTCACAGTCACAAACTTAGAGTTTGACGTGGTCTCAAGCCGCTTGTTCGCCATGGCCATCCCCCGCCTTTGTGACAAGTCATTTTTCATCTCCATCAACGTCACTGACGGAACTGTCGCCGTCCTGGCGTCTGTCCGGGGCGTGCCGGTCCCCAACCTCCGAGCTCTCGACCCTGTACACAAAGTGTACTACGGGCTGATAGAGGATGGAACGGACCAGGTGTTCTTCGCGGCGAGCACGGGTAACAAGGTGGGATCGGTTTGTGAGATGGCAGGAGGAGCATGTCAGATCGTTTCCCCTGGACAATCCGCTTGTACAACCTTCACCAGGAGCAGCGAGCTTCTGCTGGAGCAGGACGCGAAGGTGCTGTGTAGGAACCTGAGCTCTTACTGCGACTACTACGAGTGGAACGGGATCCTGCAAACCTTCGAGATGAATCAGCTGAATGGAACCGACGCTTGCAACGGGCCCAAGATCGTGTACGCGAATCGATGGCAAGGGATATCAGCGATGACGTTTGACCTGACAAGGGATGCCTTGCTGATCGTAAGAGAGGACGTGCTGGGCCGAGATAGAGTCAGGAAGCAAGACAACCTTGCGATCCTGCTCCTGGACGTTTCCTTTCTCTTCACCTCCACAGCAAACTTCGTTGCTACTGATCAGAATGTGTTAGGTCAGTGCCTCCGACTCAGTGAGTCTCAGATGTCGCCGTCTGATTGGGCCGTCGACTACACCCGCACCATCACAACCTTCAGCGCAAGGGAAGTGTCGAGTGACTCGTACTCCTTCCTGTTCAGCAGCCATCTCTTCCTCTTCAAGGAACTCGGGACGATGCGGGCAGTCGCCTACGAAGAGAACTTCAAGAGCTTCGAGTTCCAGATCGAGGACCTTGGATTCCAGGCGATTATCCCCCTTGACGACCTAAACCTCCTCCTCACTCCCTCCGTCAAGAATGTCATCCCTCCCTGCCTCAGCCCCAACGGAACCACCACCGTCACAGTCTTCGGCAAGAATTTCGGCTTCGCCGACACGTCGCCCAGGATTTCCATCGACGGAAGGGAATGTTTACATTCCAAATGGATATCCAACGAGCAACTGGTGTGTGAATATGCGCCTGCAAAGGATTCAGGCAGTATTCTTACCTGCGCGAATATGAAGATCGATTTCACTCACTACGACATTCCTGTTTACTTCCACAACCTGAGGTACTCCCTTAACGGAGCATCTTCCCTCTGTCAGCAGTGCATGTCAGGGGCAGCTTCCGACCAACCCATCGAGATCTACACGTGGGAGAACAGCGGGAGGGTCGACGTCAAGCTGGCACCGGCTCAGTGTGGGGTCATAGCTGGAGAAGGCCAATTCAGTCTCAACGTCTCTGAGGCAGTTGGAAACTTGGACCTGTTGATCTATGACAGCGTCAGAATCTTTTCTGACAACTGCAGTCTGACGTTCTCCTTGCACTCCCTACAGAACGGTCGGATCGAGTTTGCTGCTCCTGTCATCGGAACTACCCTCATCATCTACGCGTCTCCCATCAACAACCCTCCAACCCTCCTTCCGGCTCAAACCGAGCTCTCCCTCTGCGAGACTCTTCCGGTCGAGACTTCACTCACCCACTCTGTGCCTTTCGCAGTTCACAATGGCGGCCCCGACGAGAGCTCGCAGCAGCTGACAGTCACTTTGACGCATTCAGACGTGGGGGCGCAGGCCCTGGAGAATGTGCAGTACACTATGAACAGCTCTGCTCTCCTCGTTACCTTCAGAGTCAAACCTGGCTTTGCGGGCACGGCGTCAATTTCTGTGGGCGTGCAAGACGACGGTGGACTTGGGAGCGGTTTGCCCTTTACCCCTCCAGCCTGCCCTGAGAACGAGCGGTATGTCGACTTCCCTTCTCCTTGCAACTGGGACAGAGCAAACGCAAGCACGATCTTGATCCACGTGGCCAAGTACAACGCGCAGCCGACGTTCGCGTTCAACCAGCAGGCTCGCTTCAGGGCTGAGGACCTCACGGGTAAAGTGACGAGCGCAGACTCGTCCGGTCACCTTGAGATGCCCGAGGGCCTGGGGATTGTGTTGGTGGAGGACTGGCTGGTGAACGTGTCGCAAGGGTCTCCTGACGAGGCTTCACAGATGCTTTCGTTTGCGGTGGTTCCTCTCTCTTACGCTCCGGCTGAATCAGGGCTGGAGGTGCCTCCTGTGCTGCTCGCGAACAGAAGCTTGCAGCTGGTGACTAAAGCCCGCATCGACAGCCTGACGGCAACCTCTCAGTTCGTGATCATGCTGACTGACAGCGGAGATGCTCATTGCGGAATCAACCAGAAGAACAGAACTATAACGGTCACCGTCAACTCCGTCAACCGCCCTCCTCTCTTCTCTCTGGACCCTGCTTACAGCAGCGTGGTCCGCAAGGAGGATGAGTGCGGATCGGCCAACCCCTGTAGGATCGAGTCGTTTGTGACCAACGTTTCATCGGGGGCGAACGAGTTCTGGCAGACAGTGACGTTCCACGTCGAAGTTGAGAGCTCCGTCATATTCCGATGCTCAAACACCACCATGTTCGATAGCATCGAGGTCGACAACACGAGACGGGCCAGTCCTTACCTCGACCGCAACGGCACCTTGTTCTTTGCCATCCGTCCAGGCTGCAGCGGGAGGGCCGGCATCAAAATTTTGCTCTTCGATACCGGGGGCACCGAAAACAGGGCAAGGAATGTGTCGATGCCGGCGTATTTCAACCTGACGATTAGCACAACCCTGTATGCACCAGAGTTCAGCATCGCCTGTGACCAGTCTTACCCTTACGCATGTATGTATGAGCAGGGTGTCCCGGTCGCCGACAAGACTTGTCTCAACTCGACGGAAACGGTGTTACAAAACTTCATCTCTCAGTATTCCAGCCAAAACCTGGAGAGCTTGCAGACGTTCTCATTCAGCGTGCTGGTCACAAACCTTCCGACGGAGGCGTTCGACGTTTACCCCCACATCGACCTCGCCAACAAGTCCCTGGCGTTCCGCATGCACAGGGAGTACCAAGGGATCATCGCGATGGTTGTGGTCTTGCAGGATGGGAGCTTGCTGCAGTCAAACTCCTCCTTCCTCACCAGGTGTGTCGAGATACCCAAACCGATCTCGTTCCAGGTCCAAGAGCAAATCTCCATCTCCGAGCACCAGACTTCCTACGGGCCGTCTCCCTTCGTGACGCAGATCGTGTCTGAAGGCCGCGTCCCTCCCGGGAGCTTCAAGGTGGAGCAGGTTGAAAGTTTCCCCCCGGGTCTGATCACTAGCGGGCCTTCCGTCAATTGCTCCGAGGTTCCCTGTCTTACTGGCTTCCTGCGCTTCGACTCCGCTCCCTTCCGGTTCGGAAGTGCGAAGTTCAGTATCTCCTTCTATGACTTGCAACAGAACCTGCGGTCGCCTGTCTTGTTCTTCACCATCAAAGTACAACCGTTCAACAATCAGCCTTCCTTTGCTTCCAACGAGACCCTGGACGTAAACGAGAATTCTTGGTGCATCGAGATCGAGGCCGGTGTCTGCGACACCAGTTTCCTGTTCAGCGAGTACCGGCTGCTGCACCTTCGAAGGAGGTTCGCTCACAACATCTCAATCGGCGATCCCTACGAGGTAATGCCGTACCACACAACCGTCGATGGCGGCATCAACATCAGCACCAACAGCAACTGTCCGGCCGGCCCTTGTTGCTTCCAGAGAGTCACGTTCGTCGTCCAAGATGCAGATTCCTCTGCTTCTTCAGCTCTGTTCCTGTCGCGCCCGCAGGTCTTTCCCGACGGGACGCTGCAATTCGCCCTCAAGGAGGATGTGTACGGGCAAGCGACCTTCTACGTCTCTCTGAAGGACGAGGGCGCTTGCTCGTCCAACTCAAGTTACCTCCTCGACCTGGCGCCGACCCTTCCGCCCAAGGCCTCGGAGCAGAGGGTTTTCACTATCGTTGTACACCCTGTGAATCGCCAGCCCTCCTTCCAAGTCAAGACTCGAAGGCTCTCCGTCATCCCGTACAGTCTGCCCCGATACATCCCCAACTTCTTCTTCAACATCTCTACGGGACCTCCGAGCGAGGGCTATCAAACTTATTCCTTCCACATCTTCGTGGATGAACTTTTCTCCCCCCTGTTCTCTCCCCCCGGCCTGCCTTCATACAGGTACAGCAACAACAGCCTACTGTTCTCCGCGTGCATGAAAGCGCCGAACCGCACAGTTGTCTTCAACGCTACCGCCACGATGAAGGACTCGGGAGGCAGGAACCTGACGCAGCTTCGTGACCTCCTGCTCTTCTACCCCATGGACGAGCTTTCTGTAGAGCTGGAGTACACATTCTTGAGCTCGGAGCATGTGGAGACGTCTCAGTTGCAGTCATGGAGACAGCAACAGAACGCGTCTCTCTCGCGTAGAATGGGACATGCCATGGTTGAGTTTCTGGAACATGTCTGGATCCTCGGAGGGTACGAGATCAACTCTCCCCTGGGCGACTCTTACCAGTCCGACGTCTGGCAGTCGACTCCTTGCCCGGTCAACTCCACAGCCTCTTGCCTGCGATTCCAGCTAGTCACTGGGCAGGCTGGCTGGATGCCCCGACACTCGCATGCGGTCACCGTCTTCAAGGAGAGGCTGTGGCTGATGGGAGGATTCTCAGAGGAAGGGCACTCGCTCAACGACGTCTGGAGCAGCTCCGACGGGGTTGTGTGGCGCCAGGTGTCGACGAGCGCTGCCTGGGGCCGGAGGTTCTCCTTCGGTCTGGTGTCAACAGCATGGTACGAGGGGGGCGAGTGGCACTTCAGGATGGTGCTGGCCGGTGGCGCGTCCTACCGAGGGCTGGCAAAGCTCAGGTACAACGACGTGTGGACAACGGAGGATGGGGATAGCTGGACCCTCGCAAGCTCAGCAGCTCCTTGGAGTCCCAGGCACAGTCATGGCATGGTAGCCAGCGCGCTCCTCGGCGCTTGTCCGCAGATCTGGTTGATGGGCGGGGAGGGTGACGACTTGTACAACGATGTCTGGCTCAGCACCAACGGCTCAGCCTGGCAGCTGGTCACCGGCAACGCTCCTTGGGCGAGGAGGAGAGGTTTTAGCCTCCTCGCCTTCCAGGACTCGCTGCTTGTCATAGCAGGACACGCGCAGAAAGAGTTTGAGGGAGGTACGGATGGCTTCTTGCAGAGCGACATCTGGCAGTCCAAGGACGGGGCTGACTGGGTTGAGGCAGCCGCTCTTGCTCCGTTCCCTGCTCGAGCATACTTCGGAAGCACGACAGTCATGGGGCAGAGGATCGTGTTGTATGGAGGCAGGGGAGAGCTCGACATTCTCGACGACGTGTGGGTGTTGGCGCACAGCGGTTAGGAGGAGTATCGACCATGCTCTGATTAGTCCATCGATCGATATTCGGGTGTTCTCTGCCTAGAAATCCAAACCTTTTTATTCATAACAGGCATTGAGTAAATTCATTGAAAAATTCGTATGTACATTTCTTGGTCTCTCTCATCCGTAGCATGTATGGTCGCAACGCACCGAAACCGCATCGACTTTGACCTCAGTTACAATCTCCGAAGCCTTCCTGAAGCATCGTAATATTCTTTTTTGTTCAACACCATGGAGATAGCTGCTTGCAAACACAACAACTGTTTCTTTCGCGACGGTCCAGCACAGTCCAAGGCTCTTTTCGGCAGGGAATCGTAGTCTTTCGTACTGAAACCTTTGGATCCGTACAGCAAGTATACCCGTGTGTGTACTACCCCACCCTCTAAGTTTTGCACGTCTTCTGATACGACTGCTTGGAGCCAAGTGCTGACCCACCCACGGTCAAAAGGCTTTCAATTACTGAGCCTGCCTCAGTAGACGATACCTCAGGTAGGCAGCAGCTGCCGCAAGGGCTTGAATCGGAAAGCCGGAGCCTCCGGCCGGGCCGGCTACGACCCTCACGGCCGGGCACGGTTTCACGGCGATGTCACTCATCATGAGTCATCATGGCATGGCCGGGCATGGCTGAGCCTGCCATTGTCAGGCTCAGCAGTGACTCACCGTCGCACCGCAGTCGGACTCGGAACGGAGGGCGGCCGCGGCGGCATGTACGGCACAAAGTCAGCATCACGGGTGACCGGAGGCTCCGGTATTCATAAAAAAAGCTCTCTTTATGCACTGAGTCACGAAATGCAGCGTTTTAGCAACGATGACAGTCAGCTACGGTATAAAATGAAGCCTGTTTTTATGATGGCATGAACAGTCGGATGATGATCATCGGATTTACCGTCACGGACGGCTGATCGTCGCTGGCAGGAGGGGCCCCCCGGCCGGCCGCGGGGGCTGGTCAAGCCTCCTTCAGTACTCTCCTGATTGTCCACGTACTGATTTTTAACTTACTACTTTGAGTAAAACTCGGATAGTTGAAAGATAAGCCGCCGGGCTGGCCCGGGCCCGGCCGACTCGGACTGCGAGGCAACTTCACCTGACTCGGCAAGTACCGCCGGGGTGACGGTGTCAGAGTGAATTTTTAACTTATCTTTGAGTAAAATTGGAGTCAGAGTCAATACCACAGGCTCGGTTTGACACCGAAGTTCGGCATGGTGGCGTGATCCTATCAAGCCATGGAGATGGCAGAAGAATGGGGAGAAGGAGGAGGTAGATGGGAGCGAGACTGTCAGACTGATGGACTGAGGACAGATAGAGGGCGGGCAGAGGCAGAGGAGAAGAGGATAAGGTGGATGAGAGACCACCTCGACGACCTGCGATCTGTCGCGCTCGACTCCAAGGAGGTTCTGGCAGCATCCGACATGTCAAGGGCAGTACACGATCATGTTGTGGACACACAACATGAGATGTCACATCGGGAGGCTTCGCTCAAGAGGGAGATTCAGGCCCACAAGCTGTTCCAGCAGCGTCTTGAGCAGCAGCTCATGAACCTGAGGCAGGAGAAAGAGGCGCTGCGGCTAGAGGTCAATCTGCTGCGGAGGAGGCTTGAGGAGCAGGACCAGGGCAAGGCACTGCTAGCAGAAGACATGAAGAAAGGACTCCTGCAGCAGCGACAGCAGCTCAGCATTACAGACGAGTTGAACAGGGAGCTGGAGCAGCAGCGGAAGGCTGCAGCAGAGGGGGAGCGGGAGCTGCTAAAGGTGAAGGCGCACGTGCGCGAGCTCCTCTTGGTTCAGAAGCAAGAAAGAGATGAGCTTGCAAGGATGATGTCGCAAAATCAGAAGCTACAAGATGCAAACCAGCAGCTTGCGAGCGACCTGCGGTATGTGAATCACCAGCTTCAGGCAGGTAGAGTTGAGCAGGGAGCCATGGAAGCGCAGCTGCATGTGTTGAAGCAGCGAGGCACAGAGGAAGGGTCTAGAGAAAGGAGTTCTGCCCCGAGCATCACCAAGGAAGAGATAGAACGAGCACAGAAAGTGAATGAAGAACTTTGGGCGCGGCTAGATGCAGCGAACAACAAGGCGGCAAAGACTGCAGAAGCGCTGGAGGTGGAGAAGGCTCGGCAGGACGTGGAAGTGAAGACGCTAAGAGAGAACGTGGAGACACTCATTTCTCAACGTGATCGAGCATGGGAACAAGCGACGGAGACGTCGAGACGTTTGGTCGCCAAGCACCAGCAGGAGCTAGTGTACAACCTTGAGGTAGAGGTGATGCAGTACAAGTGCAACTTTGCCAACAAAGAGCAGTACGACAACCCCGCTTTCATCCTTGAGCAGCGAGTCGAGGGTCTCAAGCGAGCTCTCGAGCATTACAGCTCGTTCTCACAGGACGTGGTTGCGTTTCAGGTGGAGAGCTCGGGGCTGAAAGCTAGGATCGCTCAGCTAGAGGCCGAGAAGGAGGGACTTGTGCGACAGTTGACCGAGACTCGGTCGCAGCTGGTGGTCAGCAAGATGATGAGAGATGAGAGGATCAAGGACTATCAGTCTGAGAAACAACTGCTGCAAACAGTCATCGAGTCTCAGAAATCTCAGATCAAGAGCATGCAACTTGAAGGGGAGGAGGTGAGTTTTGTGACTATGCATGGCCGGGGACGGATAGCAATTAGGCGTTGTGATGTCATGCATAGTGAAGCTTCTTGAATAAGAAGTGCTGTAAGAGTTAGGAGCTACAGCGCATTCACAAGTCGCTGCCAATATTGTCAAGCAGCATGATCGTTCTGCTAACTCGCTCTACTCAGGCTCTGTCGCTGGCGGAGCACGAGTGCCGTCGGCTGCGACAAGAGCACTCAGAGGCCTTGAGGAGCGCGAAGGAGCTTCTGGAGAAGGAGAGGAACGAGAGCGCCGCCCTCAGGCAGGAGAACCAGCAGTTGAACCTTAAGTTTGAGAACGCGCTGAAGAGGTTCCTACCGCCGCTACCGCCGGCTGGCTGGCTAGATGACTGATCGCATCCTACAGGATTTCCAAGCTGGACCTCGAGCTGCAGATGGCGGAGAATCAGTACGATGCAGAGAAGGCTATCGACGAGCACCTCAAGGCCGAGATCAACGTCCTCAAGGAGCAGCTGCGGCAGGCGCAGGTCATGGTGGTCGAGCAAGCCCGTCGCGATGCGCAGGAGAAGAAGGAAGGGACGGAGGAGGAAGGATTCGAAATGAAGAAGATGGCGTTCGAGGTGAAGAGCTTGCGGGAGTCTCTACTGCAGGTGCAGGAAGAAAGAGACCAGTTGCTCAAGGAGATCTCTGGGGAGAGCAAGAAAGCTCAAGAGAACGAGTGCTGCAGGAGGTTGAAGGAGGAGCTGGAGCTTGCCCGTCGCATCGGAGGAGAGATGTTCCGAGTCGAGCGAGCTTTGGGGGAGGAGGAGGAGAGCGCAGAGAATCTTGTGTTTGAGGTGAAGGAAACGTTCCAGAGCAGGATGGTAAGTGGGACGGGATCGTCTTGTGGGGACTCACGAGGATGGGAAGGAGTTGGTGGAGCAGCTGCAAGAAAACTCAGTTGCTATCCTCAACCTCTGCATGGAGTCAGTGCGAGAGGCAGCAGGCTACGTGAGACTTGAACTCTCTCACATGTGCATGTCCTGACGCTCCCTCCCCTTTCGCCTGCTCCTGCTCCTCCATCATGGGCAGCATCGAGATGACATATCTGATCTCCTCATGAAACAAAGCGTGAGTAATCTTTCTCCTCCTCCTCTCTCACCCTCTCACGTTGTTGTCAGATCTTGGAGTTCAAAGTGAGGCCCCCATTTACACGAGCTCTCAGTCTGAATCTATACTCTCCTCCACAGTATCGGCTTCCTCCTCCCCCTCCTGTTCCCCTCATCTCCCCCTCCCGCTCTTCTCACCGCTTTCTTGCAGAATAGGAAGAAGTACATCATCAGCCTCAGGAACAAGTGCATGCAAACGCGCTCGGTGGTGCTACGAGAGCTGAAGCGATCGGAGCGAGCGATCAAACTCTTGCATGTGGAGCTGACATGCTGGCATGCCGACACTGACGAGCTGGCAGGAGGAGTGCGCGAGGATGGAGGCGAAGCTCAATGGCGGCATGCCGCGATGATCGACCGTGCGACAGAGAGGACGAGGACGAGGGGCTGCTGGTCGAGGGAGAGGAGAGAGGTGAATGTAGGACAACAGAGAAAAAGTAGAGGAAGGATAGGAAAGAAAACTTCGAATGAGGACGGGAAGAGCTCTTGAGGCATTCACCGAGCAGTGAAGATCGCTGAAAGGATGCCCTGATATCCTGAAAAGGTTTGAGGGGATCGAGAGCGTCAGGTTCCTCCTGCTTTATCGAGTCTTAACAAAAGAAGTTCTTTCTCATCCTTCGGCTCCTCCTCATGCTCAATCGTCGTCGCTCCTCAATGACACGCGGGCGCCGTAGATCACGACAGCCTGTGAGCTCGTCAACCTCCTCCTCCTCCCTACGAGAACGAGTCTGCTCACCCAGAAGCCAATCACAGCAAAGACAACATGCTCGTCCTTGCGCAACACGCTGCGCACAGCCTGCTCCCACTTAGGCTGCCAGCACCATTGTTAGCGCACTGCAACGTTACTCCTGCGACTTACAGCGTTGGGATCGGGTCCTTCGTGGCCTCCTCTGAGAGGAGCGGAGGAGCGGAGAGCAGGAGCGTTCACGCGTCTTGCAGCAAGGCGAAGAAGATTTCCAGCACGAGCTGATCGGTGGGTCATTGAGCGCAACGGTTGCAGGTGGGATAACATCATGAACTTGAAGTGAAGACAAGCGATTCATCTATGAGCACGATCTGCTCCTCTCTATGCACAAGGGACTTTCCATGTTCTACTACTATCATCTCTTCCATTCAAGGCGTTCCATCGCATCATCTCTCTTGACCACAAATCTACTTGACGAATTTCCGCCCTCTTTGCTTTTCAATTTCATCAACAACTTTCCGGGTCTCGTTCGAGTTTTCATGGCTCTTTGGGCTCTCGAAACTAGTTCTGTAACATTTAAACAATTTCCATCATCAGAAACTCACGGCCCTTCATTCGTCAACCATCTGCATGCGTAATGATGTACAGCAATATGCCATGTCCGTTCACGTTGCTTTTGTCAGCATGCACACAGCGCGCATCCATATTGCCGAACTGAATGATTCAACGATGAACAACTTGCTACATGATCATTGCTTCACTCTCTCACTCCTCCACCTCCACCACCTCCTCCTCCTCCCCGTTCATGACTGTCTTACCTGCCATTTCTTTTTGAGGCCGCGCCGCTGCAGTGTGGGAGCTCCCTGGGTAGGGGGTACTCAGAAGGGGGTGAAGTGTAATTAATGAGGGGTTACTCATTTGTAATTGGGGGTTATAAACAGCTAAAATGTAGGGTGGGTAGGTGGAAGTCCAAGGGTGTAGGCATAGTTGTACAGTAATTCTCAATAGGAAAGGTGGGGGTTGTTCCATGGCCAAAAATGGGGTAGTGGAAGCAATTGATACAGTGCTCCCTGCAGGGGTGGTTTTACCACAGGTCTGCAGGAAAAGTAGGGGTAGGGGGTTGTGCGTTGGATGGGATTCGGAGTCACCATGGCGAGGGGAACCAGGAGGATGCTGAGCTCGATGGTGTCGTCGGTGAGGACGGGATTGACGGCTCGACTATGGCAGCAGAGATGGGACATGCAGAAGTACAAGCAGAACGCGTCGAAGATGCAGCATGCGTTTCCTCCGAAGAGACCCAAGGACTCCTTCCTCCGAGCAGAACTGAAAGTGCGCAGCGACGAGCTGGTCAGAGATCAGTACCTCAACTTCCGTGGAGGATTGAGGTTCGCGCTCTTGCTGGAGGATATTGACGCATTTGCTGGCAATATAGGTACGCCATGAAAGAATCTGAATAGGGTGGGAGGATGTTTGTAGGATGCCCGAGGCTCGTTGCTGACGATCGCCTTCCAGCTTTCATGCATTGCAACGATGGCGATCCTGAAACGATTGTTCCTACTCTGGTGAGTTCGTGTCTTTGGTCGTTTTAAGGTTGATGGGATCGCTTGATAGGTGACTGCATCTCTTGACCGACTTGACATTCACGACCCGATCACGTTGAATCTTGGACAAGACTTTGTGCTTGAAGGAAACGTGTCGTGGGCAGGACGTACTTCCTTGCAGATAGACGTCAGTCTCTTTCCGAAGTCAGAACTTGACGTCTCAAATTCTGAACACAAGCTTCGATGCTCTATGGTGTTTGTCTGCGTCGATCAGAAAGGCAAGGCCTTTCCGATCAACCCTCTGATCCTAGAGACCCCTCAAGACGAAAAGCGATTCAATGAGGGAGAGAGGGCAAACCTCGTGAGGAAGGAGGAGCGCAAAAGAAGTTTGAAAGTTTCTCCGCCAACTGAGGAGGAAGCGAAAATCCTGCATCGCGCCATGACTGTACCCGACGGGATTCCGGACGGGCTGCCGATGGCTGCTGTCAGGATGCAGTCAGTGACCATCATGCAACCGCAGGCATGCTCTACTTCTTGTATCTGACTCCCATGCTGATCGACAATGCTTGAAGGAGCGAAATCGTGCTGGCAAAGTGTTCGGTGGATTCTTGTATCTGCTCGCACATTCCTTTCGATTCCTCTCATTGTTATATTGCAGAATGCATTCAGCATACGAGCTCGCGTATGCCACAGCGTGCACGTTTGCAGCGACGTCAGGAAACTCGACCAAGGTATGTCCGCAGGATCCTCAAGGATGGAGACTTGGGTGAGTCGTCGACTTTCCCACCGTTGTGGTCTGCGCGTTGATTTGAAAGCTCACCTCCACAATCAGGGCGCCGACAGTGCTGGCACTGGACGATGTGTCATTTGCTCGGGTTGGTTTCAGATTGCGTAACAGTGCGCATATTCGAATGATGTCCTCTTGCAGCCTGTGAGCATAGGCGATGTGGTGAAGTTTAGAGCGGACGTGGTGTATACTGGTTCAAACGAAAGCATCCTGATGGGAAACCAGCATCCTGGCTTGTCCTGCATATTTCAGGTCCACCATCTTAGAAACTGCTTTGTCTTTTTGTGACTGGAGCTCTTCTGTTTGCCCCAGGTGCGAGTTGAGACTCGTATCGTTGATCTCAAAACAGGAAATGACGCTCTATCAAACGAATTCCATTTCACCTTTCTCAAGTACACTCTTCTGTTCTCCGTTTCCCGCTTACCGGCTTGTTCCAGCCGAGACCCCGAGTCAAGCCACGTCATGCAGCTGAAACCTATCCCTGTCAAGGTTTGTTGTCATTCCTCTCCATCCTGACGCTCACCTGGTCGCTGCAGCCGATCGAGCCCCTCTCCTATGGTGAAGGAATGATGTGGTTAGATGGACGCAGGAGAATGTTGGAAGCGTTGGAAGGTTATCCTACCCCAGAGTGTTTGGTGTTCCTTACCATCCGTGCTAGTTGTGCGAGAGAACAAGGGCTTCGCCTACCCTGTTATCCAGGACTTGACAACAGAATGAAATGCATGGCAAGCATCTGCTCCTCCTGCTCCTCCTGCTTCTCCTCCTGCTTCTCCTCCTCCTCCTCCTCCTCCTCCTTGGTCGCATACTGACAGTGATAGTTCTTCAGGGTCACGCTGGTTGTACTCCTTGCTTGTTTCCCTCCTCTAGTTTCCCCGACAGAATCACCCCTACCCCTGAGCGAAAATTCCACCCCTTATTTGTCCTGAAAAATTATCTTGAATACACCGGTACTTCTTACTATCCACCCTTCCTGCAGGCACACCCCCCATCCCCTTTCCCTTCCTTGCCTTATCCATCCTCTTCTCCCCCTCCCCTGCCTCTTCCCCCTCCTCCCCCTCCCTCCCCCCCCTTCCTCCCCCCCCTTCCTCCCCTTTCATCGCGTCTCTCGTTCCAGCCTCTTGCTCTTCCCATCCTCGACATGATCGCGGATCTTTCAGCCTGGAGGAGCGCAGACTGCCTGCGATCCAGGAGGATAGTCTGTGCTGATAGCGACTGCTCTACCATGAAATATCCGAGATCGCCGTCAGATCTTTCATGCATGTGCCCACACAACGTGCACGATGCTGTTTGTGTCGTCGACCAGCACAAAGATACCAGCAACCTCTCCATCTTCCGAACCTCCGAGAGGGAGAAGTCCAAAGTTCAGGTGGAATGTCAGGTTGGCTGGAGCTGGGCATGGTAGTGACCGCTGGCTCTTCATCAGGCAACAGCGCGGGAGACTTCGAGCGCGCTCAGCAGCATCGAGCACTTGCAGGTCAGGAGGAGCTGAAGACAGAGCGACATGTTTGACCTTATGGTGCGCAGACGGTGGAACTGCGCGGGAAGAGAGCGTCGATCGCTGCATGGAGAGGTTGAGCATTGCCAGCTACTTGTTTCTGGTTGTTTGCTCACATGTGCACCTTAGATGACATGTTGGCTGTTGGCTACTTCTCAGGGTCGATCGAGATGTAACTTTCCTTGTCATTCCAAATCTTTGTTCTGTCGCCATGCTGATACCAACGTTCGTCCTTGCTGCCTTCAGCATGTCGATAGACCCTCGTCGCTGGAAGAAGGACAGAGGGGCGGACAAGATCGATTTCAGCTCAACACACCAGATATCTGCGACAGATGACGGACGAGGTCGGCAGCAACACCTGATTCCCACTGTAGGACTGCAGCAGTAACTGCCCATCAGGTCCCGGCAGGATCCACCAGCTCAGTCTGGGGAGGGTCAAGTCAGACTGGTTCCTGACGTCTGTTGCACAAGGTGCCACCGACGCTCCTCCTGCCAGCCCTGACGTTCCCCCTCCTTCTTGTCGAGCAGGCGGGCTCAAGACTTGGAATCTCACCAACCCGAAGGACCCGATAGGGCTCTGCCGCATCCCAGGTCATGACCTGCCCCGTCATACTCGATCTTGATATGTTTCTCCGCCCCTGAGCTCTCCCTCCTTCCATCCTCTATCTCCCTCCTCAACCCTTTCTGCTCTCAGTCCTTCGTTCCTTCGTTCCTTCCTGCCTGCTTGCCTGCTTGCCGGCCGGCCGGCCGTCCGCGTCTGTATCCATGTGTAAGCTGCCTGCATGTTTGCTTGTTGGAGCATCGCAGCATATCAGCCACCTTTGCTCTTCTCTGACTTGAGCGATTGTCAGACTTTCACATACGGTGCTGTGAGGTGAAGATGAGGGAGGAGCGGATCTTGGTGGGGGGGGCCAAGGGAAGGATGTCAATCGTCGACACGAGGTTGATGAGGTCAGAGGAGACCCTGGAACGAGTGCCCAGCAGCCTTGCCTTCGACCTCATGAACGCGCACTCCTCCTCGGTGAGCGACTTGAGTTGTGAAAGTCAAGAGCGTTCTTGATTGTCCTGGTCCTGTTCCTGCCATCAGCACCGCACTTCACATGCCAGCTCCTCCTCACTCCCTCTTCCTACTCAGGTCAACTGTATTCAGCAATCGCCGCTCGACGACAACCTGATGGCCACAGGAGGAGGCGACGGAGTCGTCAAGGTCCTGCTCCTACCTCATACCCCTCCTGCTCCCCCGTTCTCTTCTATCTGGATTTCCTGTTATTTTAGTGTCTTGCTGTATACTCCCCGCTCCCCTCAAAACTCTCTCTCTCTCCCCCTCCTTCTGTTCCTTCCCCTCCCCTTCCTCCTTTCTTCGTCGTTTCCTCTCCCCTTCCCCATACCTGCCTGTGCCAACACCCCAGTCCACTTCGCCTCCCTCCCTCTCTATCCCCTTCCTCCTCCCCCTCTTCTCCCCCCCAACGTCATCGGCAGGTTTGGGATCTCCGCATGCTTCGTGCCCCGGCCTTCCACCTAGCCTGGCACACCAGCTCCGTCACCTCCATCTCCTGGTCGAAGAGCCACGGGGAGATGCTGGCGAGCGGAGGGGAGGACGGGAGCGTGAGGCTGTGGAGCCTCAACCTTCCTCCTCACTGCCGCCTCTGCGCCCTCGACAGCAAGCTCCTGTCCTCGGAGATCGTCGGCTGTCACCTCTCCAACGTCAGCCCCTTCGAGGTGATGTTCGCCGCTGCTGAGGGTCAGCTCGGCATCGCGCGGCCACCGCCCCGCCTCATGTCCTCGCTGTCGCCCAAGAAGGCCATGGTGAGGACGATGACGGGGAGAATGAAGAACCCATCCTCGGTCCTCGAGAGCTTCGACAAGCTGGAGGACGAGCTGGGAAAGCTCTGCTCGAAGGTGTACCAGAGGGACTTCGAGGCAGCTGGGGGGCAGGTGGACGCGATGATCGAGCGCATGGCTCCTCTCAGGGAGTACGACCTCTTCGTCGAGCTCCTGCGCGAAGTTCTGCCCGAGCATGTTTCCCAGCAGTACTTCTCCTCCATGATGGCGGTGCTGCGCCAGTTCTTCTCCCGCAAAGACTCCGACCCCAACAAGCCTCTCTGCGCTGACCTGCTCGAGCGCCTGTCCAAGAGCATCGCCAGCAGGGAGAACTTCCTGTTTGAGGAGGAGGAGCTGGAGAAGGAGCAGGAGGAGGGCAGGGCGGGGGGAGGAGGAAGGGGGACGAGCTACAGCTTCGAAAAGGACCTGATCCCCAAGAAAATCTTCCCCAAGATCGGCAGCCCGATGCCTATCGCCCTCTCCTCGAAGCTGTGCAGGCTGCTCCTGGAGTACCGAGCTCTTGCTCTGTGCGAGCACCAGCACGGGGAACTTCTCTCGCGCACCTGCCTGCTCATTGCCGGGCATTTCGCTCTCGTTGTGCAGCAGGTGAGCGACTGGTCTCAGAAAGGCAGCGGGAGGAGCAGGAAGGTCGACAGTGCGTGGGAGGAGGAGGGGAAGTGGCTGGATCCGATTGTTCGCTGCCTGTATGCTCATGACAAAGTGCGAACGTTCGAGCTCATCCGAGATCTCCTCCTCCTCCTCCTCTTCGGGGGGCTCAAGAAGGTCCCTAGGGGCCTGCGAGGAGCCATGCTGCAGGCCTTGCGACCGAGCGTGATGGAGGGCCGAGAGTTCAGGACAAGACTTCGCAGCTTCGAGGACGGGGAGAAGATCGAAGCTTGTTCGGTGGGCCCCTCCGATCCCTTCGTCGCTTCTGAGGACGAGACCAGCGTGCAGATGGTGGAGCAGGAGGAGGAGGAGGAGGAGGAGAGCAAAGTGTTCCTGGTCTCCTCCGTGCTGGAGGACATCCTGGCGCTGGCGAGGCTGGAGCGCCTCTGGGAGGAGGAGCGACTTGCAGACGCTGTGAACGATGTCTCGAGGATCAGCATGCGCGCTGATTCCGTGTGGTGGATCACCGAAAAGCAGGCGGCAGAGATCGTGGGTTGCGTGCCAGCGTTCCACGGGGGCAACCTGAGCGCTGTTGTGCTCTGGAGGAGGATGGAGAGCCTTGCTGTGCTGGGGGAGGTGCAGGAGCTGGTGGTGGAAGGGAGCGCAATCCTGATGAGCCGGCATTGCAGCAGCTCCTTCAAGCAGGCGGTAGGCGAGGAGCTCCTGGTCAGGATCGGATGCTCCGTGCTGAGGAGGAAGGTGATTGAATGGACTTCTGTGAACATGGAGAGGCCATGGGAGTACCACAAGGTTCAGGACGGAGTTCTGACATGTGCCGGTGCCGCGACCTGCGCACACTGGCGGGTTCTCCCTCTACCTCTGGCGCAGGAGCTTGAGGAGGGGATAGAGAAGCTCTCGGTCTCGCTCACAAACGCCATGCAGCTTCTGACTATGAGGGGAAAGGACGCCAAGTACACCAAGGAAGCGTCGAGCTTCTGCGTTCAGCTGAGGAAGTCGATTGCTGGGATGCAGTCGTCTTGCAACCACTCGGTCTGCGGTCGGTCGGCAGGGAACAAGGAGAGGTTGAAGGTGCTCATGGCAGCGATCGAGAAGTTTACTTGAGGGGTTGAAGCATTCCGTGCTGATAACGAGACGGGAAGAGGGAAGGGAGGGGAAGAGAAGGGAGAGTGGGGGGGGATGAGGATGGAAAGGAACGGGGGGAGGGGGATTGTTGAATGGTTGAAGAAATAGAGCAGAGGAAAGGAAAGAGAGCGTGGAGCTGAAAATGTCTACCAGTTCGATGGAAGAGCAGGACGGAAAACAAGTCAAGGAAGCAGCAGCAGAGGAAGAAGAGGAGGAGCTAGAGGTGCTGTTGCATGAACTTCATGCTCCGAGGAAGGAGCCTGCTGAGCTCGGGCTGCTCGTCAAGCTTCGCCTTCACCACACGGAGATCCTGCAACTCGTCTACGTCCTCTAGCTCCTCCCCCATCCTGCCTACACAGTCACCTGAAACTGCACAGCTCCCTCCCTCCTTCTCTCTCCCTCCCTCACCTACCTCCTCCCCCTCCCTCCCTCACCTACCTCCTCCCTCCTCCTTTCCCTCCCTCACCTACCTCCTCCTCCCCCTCCTCCCTCCCTCCTCCCTCCCTCCCTCCTTCAACCTGACAGTCAGCCCTGCCGCTCTCAGAGCCTCCACCTGCGTCTTGCCGGTGACACTGCAGGAGGACAATGAGAGGGACGTACGAGCTCACCTGGGAAGAAGAGGAGGGGACGGCGGTGGGGGCAAGTGGGTAGAAGACGAGAGCAGGGGGGTAGAGGAGGAGGGCAGAGGGGGACGAGGAGGAGGACAAGGGGGTAGAGGAGGGGGGCAAGGGGATAGAGGAGGAGGGAAGAGGGGTAGAGGAGGAGGGCAGGGGGTAGAGGAGGAGGGCAAGGAGGGACCTGGAGCTCCACGTAACATTAGCAAAGACTTCCTTGGACGAGCCGGGAGGGAGGGAGAGGGCGACGTATCCTCCGTCTGCATCAGAACCGCGTCAGAACGTATGCGGAGCATGCGGCGAGCTGACCAGCGGCTGGGCACATGCAGGCGGATCCTGCCGAGGCTTCGAGGATGCAGGTGTGGACGTGGAGGTCAGAGAGGGTCAGGCAGTCGGTCCCGATGAAGAGGATGGGCCGCTCCCTCCCAAACTGCTCGAGGGCGTTGGAGAGAAACGCTCCAAGGTCGGAGCCCTGCTGCAAGCTCAGCACTCACAGACAGGAGCAGGTCCGCGTGTCCTGCCTGGCCACTGGGTTTCCCCTCGGTCGAGATGCCCAGCATGGGCTGAAGCTCGAAGGACTCCCACGTGTCGCCCAGTGAGCTCGACAGAAGCTGGACGAAGTCGGACCGAGCTCCCTCAGGCGCGTAGAGCAGGATGCGCCGAGCGAAGGTCGTCGTGGCGCCAGCATGCTGCCAGCATGACCTCAGCTGACCGGTACCGTCAGTAGCAGGAGCACAGCTCACCTCGAACGAGAAGGCGGAGAAGCGCTCGACGAGGTCCAACAAGCTGGTCCGGGCGAACTCCGCAGCGGCAGCGTCTCCTACGTCTTTAGCGAGTCGAGACTTGCAGCGGCCAGGCGCGGGGAACTTGGCGACAACAACCAGGGTGGCGTCAGCATGCATCTTGCAGGAGGAGGAGAGGTGAACTTAGTGTCGCTGCAATGAGGGGTGGGGGAAGAACGCAAGGATGAAAGAAAGAGAGGCGATTGAGGGGAGGGAGGGCAGGGCAGGGAGGGCAGGGAGGGCAGGGAGGGCAGGGAGATCAAGGGAGACAGTCAAGCAAGGAAGAGGGGGAGGGGGGAGGGGGAGGGGAGGAAGCGAAGGAGCCGATAGGCAGGGAGCAAGGGGGTGCGGGGGGGACTAGGAAGGATACCAAGCCAGCCCCAGGACAAATGCGCCTTCCTGCAAGAGATAATCGAGGGAAGCAGATAGGATGTAGAGGGGGGGGGGGAGGAGGAGAGGGAGGAGAGGGAGGAGGAGGAGGAGGAGGAGGAGAAGTGGGGACACAGCCGTCATAGCAGCATGCTCGAAGTGATCTGACCTTGACAGGACAGCTACAACAATCCTTCCTGCCTCCTTAGCAAGCCGCAAGCACAAACATGTACAGGAAGATCGTCTGCGAGAAGTAAGTCACATGCTCATCGACTGTCTCGGGGATCTGATCGAACCTGCCCATCTGTGCATGTCAGGCTGTCTACCAACTTCCGCGAGTGCACTAGAATCATGACTGCTCCCCTACCCAAGGTGAGAACCTCTCGACGTACTCGTCGCGCTCCCTGTGAACAATCTCATCATGTCCTCGGGTGCTCCCCACAGGCGTTGAACTCGGGCAGCATCCTCGTCAAGAACGAATGGTGCGGCATCAATGCGTCAGACATCAACTTCACAAACGGTGTGCTGGCTCGACCAGAGTCGCTCCTCCCTTGACCATCTGGTCGCCCCCCCTGACCGTGAGCAGGCAAGTACATGCCGGGGGTGAAGCCGCCGTTCGATTGTGGTTTCGAAGCCATGGGGAAAGTTGCAAAGGTGGGCGAGAATGTTACGAAGCTGAAGGAAGGCGACAGCGTCGTGTACACTGTAAGAGCATGTAGAGGACAAGACTTTGTTCCTTGAACATGCCGGAGCAGTCTTTCGGAGCCTTCTCTGAGTACCAGGAGATCGATGCAAGAGCAGCAGTTTCGCTCCCTAAGGAAAGACGCTAGTGAAGGAGATGAGTTCCTTGACGCTCCTCGTTGTGCAGATCATGCCTGAGGCTCTTCCTCTCTTCGTCAGCGGCTTGACGGCCTCGATTGCCCTCGAGCAAGTATCTTCCACGGACGCGAAACTTGAAAGGTTTCCGACATGACTCGTGTGCAGGTGGGAGAGATCAAGAAGGACGAGATAGTGCTCGTGACAGCAGCCGCAGGTCCCTCCCTCACCATCTGCCTTGTAGTGACTGGAGTGCAGGTGGCACGGGATCGTTTGCAGTGCAACTTGCGAAGCAGGCGGGCTGCCATGTCATTGGAACCTGCAGCAGCGACGAGAAAGTTGAGGCTCTGAAAGCCCTCGGCTGTGATCGCCCAGTGAACTACAAGAAGGAGGATCTGTTCCAGGTTCTAAGGTCTGAGTACTCGGACGGAGTGAATGTAGTATATGAGAGCGTCGGAGCTTCGTTCTTCGACATTGCGTTGAACAACCTTGCCAAGAAAGGTCGTCTCGTCGTGATTGGTTTCATCTCGGGGTACAAGGCAAGGCGGCAAACATCAGCTTGCTCGATAATGACGTGAGTTCTACCAGGATGGGTCAGGATGGTCGCAGGAGGGTGGGGAAAAGAAGCCGAGCACACCCATCACAGCCAAACTTCTAGGGAAGTCTGCGAGTGTAAGTCGTGAGATTTGCGATGAAGCATGCGGGTCGTGTGATCGCAGATGAATGTTCTTGCTAGATCCGAGGCTTCTTCCTCAACGACTACACGCGCGAATGGAAGCCGCACATGGCCAAGCTCCTTCAGATGGTTGCGGAAGGAGACTGATGGATAAAACGTGGATGTTGACGTGTGAACAGACTCAAGAGGGCAAGTTAAAGTCTCTTGTGGATCAACAAGCTTGCAAGCAGTTCAACGGCCTTGAATCCATCCCAGATGCCATCGAGTACATGTACGAGGGGAAAAACATCGTAAGTTTGCTCCTGATTCAAACACAAGTGGAGGTGACTGGTGGTGACAGGGAAAGGTTTTGGTGAAGTTGTGAGGATTGAGATGCTTCATGTATAGCTCCAAACGTGAAGATTTATTGCTGCGTCCTGGCACAATTATGTCCATACTCAGTTGTATTTGAGTACACCCGGAATGCTTTCGAAGGGCAAGGACAGCCGAGAAGGATGAGCCATTCACCATCACCCTGATGATGTCAGGAACAGATCATCTACTTCTTCTTAGATCGCTTTCCTTGTCCTTTCTTCGGAGGGCCCTTTCCACGTCGACGTAACCTCGCTAACTGAGCTTGCCTCCTCTCGACAAACGGATCTTTGTACCCGTCTTGATTGTGAACCGGCAGCGGTCTGAAGTAGGAAGCCAGTTTTCCTTTGATGGTGCTCTTCATGAAAATCTTTCTGATACTTCTTGTGTGTGGATCACTGAAACGAGCAGTCCCAAAGATTTCAACCACAGCACTGGCAGTTGCAGGATCCTGAGGTAGAGCTGGGTTCTTCGCCCTCGCCATGTGTGTGGGTGCGTAGTGAGATCCAGAAAAATTCTTGTAGGATCTGCATGTCTGGTTTGCTGACTGAAACCCCAAAGCACCAGCCCCCTGAACTCTGCCGAACAGCCCAGCAGCTGCAAGAGGAAATCGTACTCTGCATCCAGAACTCAAAGAGGTGGAGAACGTAACTAACCCCCTCCTAGCATCGAGGGTCTGGCTCGCTTCCTTCAAGCCACCAGCATCTTTTCCCCAGGCCATCAATCGCCCCATGCTTGGCACCATCCTCCCAAGCCCCGCGCGCAGCAACCCTAGCCGCTGCATGCTCGTCGCCTCGCTGACACCCCTACCCCCACATTTAACCTTCTCAATCACCCCGGGAATTAGGCGAGTTCTACCACCCCTACCAGTTACCCTAATTATTCTAGGAACAAGGGGGTATCTCTCTACGCTGTGGCATCCGGGTTCGCCCCGGAGATAGTCGGCGCAAGTGGAGAAGTGAGCTTACCAACAAACAAGCTCCTCCTGCGACTGCCCTGGCCTCCACCACGCATGGTCTTGTCACCGTCGTAGCTCCTGCGGGTCGCAGCCATGCGAGCAGACACAAGCATCCGATGGGAATCCTTCAGTCTTGCATGCTGGACGCGGTATGGCCTCTCCTCTTCCTCAGGCCGCGGTCTCCCCATCCCGTCCGCATACTGATGCAAACTTGATGTCCTTCTCTTTCAACGACTTGTCAAATGAGTACGGCACGCAGACCCTCCCCCAGCCTCTTCGGAAGCACCTTGCACGTCGTCGCACTTGAGCTTACGGAGCTTACATGTCCAGCAAGCGGCGGCGACGCGCTGTCTGGAGGGAGGGGAGGAAGAGGAGGGGAGAGTTTGAGTGTCGTTGGTGACGAAAAAGGAGGAAAGAGGAAGGAGAAGGAAGCAATCAGCCAGATGCGGAAGGGATGCGGATGGCAAGGGACGAGTGGGGCTGGGAAGAGTTAAAAGGAGGGTCGGATGAACTGACTCATGCAGCATGGAAGCATACCTTACGAACCATGACCGATGGAAATGTCAAGGTCTTTTATATACACCAGTATGTGTACTACACGTCTTGTCATTTGTGTCTTGGATTGATGATCAATGACCATGCAAATGACCTTACTCTGTGTCAATTCCTTTTATTGGACCTGCGTCTTGTAGCAATTGCTGTGCATCAAGATGCCCCAAGGCTGATCCCTTCCGACAACTGGAGTCTGAGCTCTATGACTTTGTCCTTGATTCTCCATCGCTTCAAACACCATGCTCAAGTGTGCATTTCCTCCTCTCCCCCCCCTACTCACCCCCCATATCCCGTCCTCCTCCGCACCCTCCCCGTCCTCTCTCCTCCCTTCTGCCTCCCAGTCCATCGACGCGGTCACGGCTGGACCGGGCAGCCGATGATCGCCTGCCCCGCTCCCGCGTCCATGAAAGCAAAGTGGAGCTTGCTTGGATCAGCTGGGTTTCACGTCAAGGTTTATCCTCTTCTTGCTCACTCATACCTTCTCTCAACATCTTCCACTTCACTTCCTTCAGACGTTTCGACGCCTTCTTCTACATCAGATGCGTATACTGCATGGCTCAGCGCTTCTGCGGGGCTTGGACAGGCATCCATGGCCTGCGCATCCCGTCATCCCTACTAGCAGCCATCACTTATTACAGCGGCCCGACCGAATTTGAAAAACAATCGTGTATCTCGGAATGAAATATCGACCCCACCCCAGCCTCGGACTCGGTCCACCCGGTCCTTTGACGGCTACGCTCAACTTCAACTTTCAGAGTCCTTTGACCAGCGACGAAACGAACAAAAACCCTCATTCTTGAAAAAAGAGCGTCACCTCCGATCAGCACGTCACGGTACTCTCTCGGTCTACTTGCTAACGTAAGGCGACGCTGTCGTAGGATTGCGAGACGTGGAGCAAGAGGATGGTACGAAGCTAGAGGACGACCTATCTTCCGCATGTCGAGCTATCCCGATGCTGCAGGCGGGGAGGCGTCAGCGTGAGAAGCAGGAGATCTTGACTTGGTCATTGCGTGCGGCGCTGCGATGAGAAGAGTGATTGTTGAAGAAGAGTTGATGGATGATACATGACTGGGATAAAATGAATACCATGACTTGGTTTGATCTTAGTAGCCTCAACCTCATCTGTGGTGTCACCTTGCTCCCTATACCCAACAAGTATGTCCAATATGAAAACAAATCAGAGAGTGACGAGCAAGGAAAATGGGCAAGCAAGGGCATGTTGCAGACCATACTGTGAGAAGGAGTGGTGTATCGTCACGCAAGAGCTCGTTGATGGAGCATGAAAAGCAACTCTCCAGTTTTTACTATGATTAGATCGTATTCTTGCTTGGTCAAAACTTCATCCGTCCCGGTCTTGGAACTCTGCGATAGACAGATAGGTCGCAAATCGTCTCGTACTATTGAAACGCTAGCCAAGGAAAGGATATCGCACAGTTGTTGGAATATCTCCGCATCAAGCAGTCACAGGGGGGACTTGGGAGCGTTCATGACCCAAGGAGGAGCAGACAGGAGGAGAAAGAAGCTGTAAGTTTGCGCATCGTCGTCGACGCGAGGTACGCATTAGTCAGATCAACTGCGGGTCGTCGGGTCCGAAACTTGCGTGACCTGGTCGTTCCGGTCATGTTTTTTTTTTTCACCTGTCCTCCTGGCCTCTGAACCGATCATTCGAGTTGACCGTCATGTAGTACCGGAGAAGAGTAGTAAAGATCGGAAATTTGACCTCACCCGAAGGTACCGTGACATGCTGACTCGGTGGTCAAAAGGGCAATTGGTACGTCTCTATCCCTGTCAACCGGCGCAACGTGTCAAATGATCATGGTAGGGCCCAAGGTTTGACTAGAAGATACTCGGCTAGTGCCTTGAGGGAGGGGTGATGCACTCGGATTGGTAAAAAGCAGGGGTAGGTGGAAGTAGGGGCCATAAAGCTTGAAGGGGAAAGGAGAGGGTGGGTAGGGTCCTGTCTGCTGATATCTTCGGCTTTGCTTTTCCTCTCTGCAGTTGACGCTCCATGGCAACACTCGCAGTCCCTTCCAAGATTCCCTCCCCTCCTCTCACTCCACCCTCATCCTCCCCTCCCTCCAGACAGCGCGTCGCCGCCGCTTGCTGGACATGCAAGCTCCGTAAGCTCAAGTGCGACGACGCGAGGCCCTGCACAAGGTGCTTCCGAAGCGGCTGGGGGAGGTTCTGCGTGCCGTGCAAGAGATCCCCGAGGAAAGCCGCGGCCGACAAAACCAGCAAGCTCCACTCCCCAGCATTCGCGAGCGTCACCTTCAAGCCCCCGCCGGCTCTGTCTGCCGTCCAGCCCCGCAAGACCAAGATCAAGCGACGACAGGTCTCCCAAGCTTGCGACGCTTGCAGACGATCCAAGGTAGGCTGCGACGAGTCTCGGCCATGCAAGCGATGCGCGCGGACCCAGCAAGACTGCTCCGGACCCCCGCTGAGCTCCCAGCCACTGACCAACGAGCTCTTTTCCGTGGCGGTCTGCATGGACACGGGAGCGGGGGAGGCGATGCTGCCGGGACAAGCCATGACCGTCGGCGACGACGAACAGGGCGCTGCTGCGGCCTCAGACGAAAAGGATCGGGACGGGAGCTGGGCAAGCTGGCTGAGGAAGACCCTCCTGCCGATGGACGGGGAGGGGGAGGGGTGGAGAGAGGAGGGGGAGGGTGCGGAGGAGGACGGGGTATGGGGGTTGAGTATGGGGGGAGAGGAGGGGTGGGAGAGGATGGAGAGGGACGAGAGAGGCTGGGAGGAGATGCTGGGGGAAGGAATTTGAGGAAGCCTGCTGGGAGAGGGAACTCGAATGACGAGGGGATGGAGTACGTGGACAAGATGCGGTAACTTGTAGTTGTATAGTGATTTCTAATGCATGCTTAGATAAAAAGCCTGGTTATGTTTGATTCATACTGAAATAAAATTAAGATGCTGGTGTGCTCTCTTGGATCCTTGTATCTCGAGAGTTACTTTTCATGCTCCATCAACGAGCTCTTGCGTGACAATACACCACTCCTTCTCACAGTATGGTCTGCAACATGCCCTTGCTTGCCCATTTTCCTTGCTCGTCTCTGATTTGTTTTCATATTGGACATGCTTGTTGGGTGTAGGGAGCAAGGTGACACCACAACCCCCAACATGATGGGAGTCCAGCCCTGGCTTTCGAGATAAAAAAGGTCCTACTAGTATCTTACTTCTCGATAGCTGGATGGAACAATCACTGTTCTCACCGCAGCGCCGCACGCAATGACCAAGTCAAGATCTCCTGCTTCTCACGCTGACGCCTCCCCGCCTGCAGCATCGGGATAGCTCGACATGCGGAAGATAGGTCGTCCTCTAGCTTCGTATCATCCTCTTGCTCCACGTCTCTCAATCCTACGACAGCGTCGCCTTACGTTAGCAAGTAGACTGAGAGTACCGTGACGTGCTGATCGGAGGTCACGCTCTTTTTTCAAGAATGAGGGTTTTTTTCGTTTCGTCGCTGGTCAAACGACTCTGAAAGTTGACGTTGAGCGTAGCCCTCAAAGGACCGGGTGCAACGAGGGCGAGGGTGGGGTGGGGTCGATATTTCATTCCGAGATACACGATTGTTTTTCAAATTTGCTAGGGCCGCTGTAATAAGTGATGGCTGCTAGTAGGGATGACGGGATGCGCAGGCCATGGATGCCTGTCCAAGCCCCGCAGAAGCGCTGAGCCATGCAGTATACGCATCTGATGTAGAAGAAGGCGTCGAAACGTCTGAAGGAAGTGAAGTGGAAGATGTTGAGAGAAGGTATGAGTGAGCAAGAAGAGGATAAACCTTGACGTGAAACCCAGCTGATCCAAGCAAGCTCCACTTTGCTTTCATGGACGCGGGAGCGGGGCAGGCGATCATCGGCTGCCCGGTCCAGCCGTGACCGCGTCGATGGACGGGGAGGCAGAGGGGAGGAGAGAGGACAAAGTCATAGAGCTCAGACTCCAGTTGTCGGAAGGGATCAGCCTTGGGGCATCTCTCCTCCTCCTTCACAAGTTGGTCTGGAACGTTATTCTTGGAATTCTCAGCCGCTGCAAGTTAGTTGAAGAAAGAAGTATTTACAGGATCTTGATGCGCAGCAATTGCTACAAGACGCAGGTCCAATAAAAGGAATTGACACAGAGTAAGGTCGGTCATGGTTCGTAAGGTATGCTTCCATGCTGCATGAGTCAGTTCATCCGACCCTCCTTTTAACTCCCCCCAGCCCCACTCGTCCCTTGCCATCCGCATCCCTTCCGCATCTGGCTGATTGCTTCCTTCTCCTTTTCCTCTTTCCTCCTTTTTCGTCACCAACGACACTCAAACTCTCCCCTCCTCTTCCTCCCCTCCCTCCAGACAGCGCGTCACTGCCGCTTGCTGGACATGTAAGCTCCGTAAGCTCAAGTGCGAAGACGCAAGCCCTGTACAAGGTGCTTCCGAAGAGGCTGGGGGAGGGTCTGCGTGCCGTACTCATTTGACAAGTCGTTGAAAGAGAAGGACATCAAGTTTGCATCAGTATGCGGACGGGATGGGGAGACTGCGGCCTGAGGAAGAGGAGAGGCCATACCGCGTCCAGCATGCAAGACTGAAGGATTCCCATCAGACGCCTGTGTCTGCTCGCATGGCTACGACCCGCAAGAGCTACAACGGTGACAAGACCATTCGTTGTGCAGGTCAATATCTCCGGGGCGAGCCGCTGAGCCCGGATGCTACTGCCTAGGCAGAGGGGCCCGGGGGTGAACTCGGAGATGACGGGGAGTCGGAGGTAGCGGAGGAGGCCCGGTGGCGGCGGGGCATGGTGAGGGAGTATGGGGAGAGGAGGGTTGGGAGAGGAGAAAGGAGCGAGCAGGGAGGAATTATACTGGCGGAACACAAACTAGATTAGGACGAGTAGTTCTCTTGTTCCTCGCGATCAGTAAATTGGCTGAACCCCATGGGCTGAGCTGCACGGGCAAGGTCGACAAGCGAGACCGTCTGCGGCTGATTGTAGCAGGAAATCGACGTGGAGTCTCAGTCTGAGGAGGGCCGCAGGGCGAGTCAAGTGTGAGAGGTGGACAAGAGGCGGAGCGGAGCTTTAAAACAAAAAAGGAGGTGGACAAGAGGCAAGCGAAGGTATGAGCAGGTGCTGAGCCCGGATGGGCCCGGGAGGGGGGGACGGGGAAGAGCGGCCAGGGTCGCCGGCCGGGGCCCGGCCTCTCAGGGCCGGTTCGGGCCGACGCCCGCCGGGCCCGGGGCCCCGGGCGGCCTCCAAGGGCCGGCACCGTAGAGTGAGCAGTCGCGGCACAAGTGCGTGGTTGTTGCTGGTATCCTCCGTGACAACACTATCCACTATCGGATGGCCGCTCTTAGGGGCTACGGCGGCAATCTGCGCTTCATATCGGGCCTTCAATATGGTTCCTCGAACGGAGCCTATGACGGCATCTGTACTATGATCTCTGCACCGAGCCATATCAACTGCCGGGTCAGGGCCCGGACTCCGGGAGGTATTACCGAGCCTAGTAACTTGACTCACTGTGGCTCGCCCGGAGCCGCCGTGAGGATCATATACTAGGTAGTACCAACAAATCCGCCTCAACAGAAGACTACCAGAGGAGAGAGAGGCAGCGAAATCAGATTAGGTTTCGTTTTGGTTCAGTTTTACTAGAACAAAACCCCCAAAACCCTACAGGATCCGACCCGGCATGTCGAGGCTACGCATGTTCGCGGGGGTGGGGAGGGGGCTGGAGGGGCTGCTGCTGGAGGAGCTGAGAGGTGACGTCACGCTGGAGTCGAGCTGCTGGACGCTGACTTGTCATCTGCATCAGTCATCTCCCCGTCCGTCAAGTGGTCGAGGATGAAAGGCGGGTGCGAGGGCTTCGCCCCCATGGAGGACTTGTGGAGGGTCTGTCTGAGGACGAGGCTGGTGAGCCCGCGCCATGGGGTTGCATCCTCGGACATTGCGCTGACTCTGTTCGACCTGCCCAGGCTGAGCTCCTCCGTGTGAGGATCGGGGAGTTCTATGGCCCCAGCTTTCCAGTCTTGATCGAGGGATTGAGGAAGTTGCCCTGGGCAGCATATCTGCATAGGCAATCCCCGTGTCCTTCCATCAAGACAGTGTGCCACAGGAGCAAGCTGTATCATACAGAAGCTGTGAACGAGCGCGTGAGGCATGTCCTGAAGGAGAGGCAAGTCGCTCTGAGTGATGATGCCTTCAACGAAATGCCCGACCAGGGTAAGACGCTGCTGCTGCTGCTGCTGCTGCTGCTGCTGCTGCTGCTGCTGCTGCTGCTGCTGCTGCTGCTGCTGCTGCTGCTGCTGCTGCTGCTGCTGCTGCTGCTGCTGCTGCTGCTGCTGCTGCTGCTGCTGCTGCTGCTGCTGCTGCTGCTGCTGCTGCTGCTGCTGCTGCTGCTGCTGCTGCTGCTGCTGCTGCTGCTGCTGCTGCTGCTGCTGCTGCTGCTGCTGCTGCTGCTGCTGCTGCTGCTGCTGCTGCTGCTGCTGCTGCTGCTGCTGCTGCTGCTGCTGCTGCTGCTGCTGAACGACAGTCTTACAGATTTTGATCCAAACGCCACTGTGCACCTGCTGATCGATGACAATGTGAGGGGACTGTGCTCATGGACCTCCAGCAAGTTCGCGCTGCCTCTCTGAGCATGTCCACAGATCGTAACTGTCAGTGTCGACGCGTCCGGCCCACAGTTGCACAAGAGAGGATACCGGCGAGCAGGAACTCTCGTCCTCCTCGCTGACGTTGACGATGATGGCAGGCTGGATGTCGGCAGGGCGCCGCTGCGAGAGACGCTGGCGGCGGCATGCATATCAGCAGTGAACAAAGATATCGAGGAGATGGATCAGAGCAAGGATCATTTCCTCAAGAGGAGGCGGCTCTGGGATCCTCTATGTGGGTCCGGAACGCTTGTCATTGAAGCTGTTTCCTCCTACCTGGGCAAGTCAGCGGTCAAGATCGTCTGAGTGTCAGGCCTTGCCTGACGATGTACAGGTTGTCAAACGCAAGTTCGCGTTCGAGGACTGGCCGATACATAACCAAGGGGAGTTCGAGAAGTTTGTCAAGGCGCAGGAGGAGCAGGATCGTGCGAGCCTAATCACAGTGGAGGTCCTTCTGCAAGAAGAGGAGGGGATGGCGCTGACCTGCTTGCAGACCCTGGCGGTCGGCAGCGATATCAGCAAGGATGCGATCCAAATGGCGAAGAGGAACGCGGAGAGGAGCTTGACTCAAGAATACTGCTCATTCAAGCAGGGAACCGTCGTAGATACAGCGAATAACATAGAGGAGGGAGCGGTAAATCTCGCCCTCCTCTACCACTACCTTCTCCCACCCCTGCCCTCCTCCTCCTGCCCCCCTCCCCTCCCCCCCCCCTCCTCGCCCTCGCCCTCGCCCTCGCCCTCCTCGCCCTCCTCTGCCACTTCCCCTTCTTCCTGCTCCTCGTCCTCCGTCCTCTCGTCACCAGCCACCGCAGGTACTGCTCACAAACTTGCCCTATGGCGTCCGGCTGCATGGTTTTTACGTGCGGCTCCCCTTGTGCCTCTTCTGGTCTGAGTGGAAGAGCAGGACGCGTGGAGGAGCATCATTAGAGTCCTCACTCGCAGGGAGGACATCTTACCCTACGTCATCTCCAGCTGTGAGGAGGAGGAGGAGGCGGAGTAGGGGGAGGAGGAGGAGGAGGAGGGGGAGTAGGGGGGGGAGGAGGAGGAGGAGGTAGGGGGAGGAGGGAGAGGGAGAGAGGGTGTGGGACAGGGACGGGGAGGGGAAGCAGAAGCGAGAGGGGATGGGAAGGAAGGGGCAGTATTGGAGGAGGGTCGAACAGTGTTCTAATGTATGGGTGCAGCACGACAGGACATTCCGCTACCGCAGGTGGGATGAGAGGACGGGGATGTGGATGTAGCTGACGAGCTGACAGGGATGGAGAACCGAAGAGATTTTGTCCTTCTCCAACCGGGGGATACCAGTGCAACTGAACAGGATTGTAAGGGGGAATGCTAGCAAGGAGAAGCAGGAGGAGCAAACAGAATGAGGAGAGGCTTCGAGGACAGCGATTGGACGCTCAAGTGCCTGTTCATTCTCTCCTCCTCCTTCTCTTCGATTTTCTCCCTCTCCTCCATCTGCCAATCTTCTGAAGAGTCGCCGCAAGAGACTTCACTTGGACTCCCCTCACGACGAGAAGAAGGAGCGATGCATCGTAGTGAGCAGCGGTCTCTTGATCCCGAACGTGCCGGGGCTGCCGACATTGAGCGATCTGCATTCATAGTCAGTTTTCCTCTCCTGCTCCCCCCCCCCGGTTTAGCTTCAAAATGGACAAAAGTAAATAATGATATATATTATAATACCGGTAACGTTGGAATAGGTACAATCCCTAATAATAGTTCCAAATTACAGATTGAAGGGAATATTTCTGCAAATGGTATTGAAATAGGATTAAAGGATAATGATGGCGCACAATTACCTAAGATATTTCACGATAAATATTTGGTTCTTGGTGTCAAACAAACAAATGACAATTATATATTTATTTCTAATGATACAACTTGGGGAAATAAGGTTGTGATTAATAGTACAGACTGGGGATATATTAGTTGGTACAATACAACACGGATAAAATGGAATAGTCAAGGTGTTTATATATATGGTCCTAATTTACAATTCAACGATGTTCCTATATCAGGTAATACAATAACATCTGTTAGTTCAAGTTTTAAGCTTGTAGATGG